TTTCTATGTATGGTTTTCACTGAGGTAGCATGGCTATGTAGCAACGTTGATTCAATACAATGCAGAAGCTCTTATATGTTCATGAAGGAGTATATTCCCTTTTTCTTTTGTCCTCTTTTTACTGTACTAACTTCATCTCACTTTGGGGTTTACATTACAATCCTTTCTTCATGGCAGCAGCAACCCCACCCCAACCCCACTCCTCTTCCGAAGCAATACATTTCACTATCGTTTTGTAGAATAGAATGCCTTGGTAGGTATCCTACTTCTAGAAGACCCAATGCAAGCAAGGATTTTTTTTACAGAAACAACACTGCAGATAAAAAGATGAAGACACCTGCATAAATATGCTACCCATAGTAATGCTATGATAACAGCAACATACCTTCTTCTTTAGACAGAATATAAATTTCTCAAAATTTACCCGCCAAAGTACTTCATTCTCTGCAATTGTTGAGTTGAGCTCTTCATCTACCTCAAAGGCTCCGTGTTTCCGCTGATGAAATAACGACGCAGAGAATTACATGATGATAAAAGCAGTTAATTGCATGTTGTTGCTGCATTTGCCAGTTCCTACCAATACTTTCAGAAAATGCCTTCGCCATTAACAAACAATCTACATATATCACTTTGCCTTTTCTCATTTAACAACAGGATGGCCGAAACAACAAATACCAATTTTTCCCGTAACATGAAGTCACTGCATAACATGGTGGTGAAGATAAGTAGAAAGAGTACACCACCTTAGCACCCGCAACAGCGTTATGAGGACAATCATTCGTTTTTGATGCATCCTCCATGCTGTATGGGATCTCAGAAAACCTTTCTGGATCAGAAAGGGTTGCAGTATTGACAACTTTCTGCTCAAGTGAAAGAACCTCCTCGGCAGTCTGTAACAAAGATAATTTTCTAAGATCATGTAACTGACTATCATACACAGTGCATATCGACAGAAGAAAGAACAGTAATACATTATTAAAGCATCGAGATCTTGGCACTAATAATTATCAGTTTTCACAAAGTGTACACAGGTGATGACTATGAGTTAAGAGTAAGATGATTTTGTCAACTGGACATGCATAAAAAGGACCCAAACCAGTGAGCTAGCTAATTAGCCCTTTGCTAAGATGTCTAATTAAAAGACCAAGTTACTAGACTAACAAGCTTAGTCAGCTTCTACCAATCCTGCATGCATTTGTATTAGTTTACAGTAGAAAACTATAAAAGTCAGTGTTCAAGAAAGCGTTTTTAAGTGCTGAGCGATGGCAAACCTCTTCGCTTTTGCCCTAAGCGGTAGATTAAGCGTTTTTTCTTAAATTTGGCTGTTTTTGAACTGCTTTTGCTTGTCTGCTTGCGCAATAATGGTAATATGCCATTTATCTTACTATTAGGCTCTGTTCGGGAACTATTTCCTTCATATTCTGGCAAAATTCTGGCACATGATCTCTATTAGGTTATGACTATTTGAACTGAACTGCATTTTAGTTGTTATCTTGCTTGCTATGTGAACCTGATGTGTATTTGCTATGGTGTGAACTGTATTTTAGATGCTATATCAATTATCCATGTGCCATGTTTCCTATTTTACTATGTATATTATTCAAAATCTGTCAAATTCTAGCCAATTTCAAAAAATGCTTAAGCATGCTTAAGTAAGCGCCCATTGCTCTAAGCTGTGGCCTTCCGCTTCGCTTATGTTTTCCGCTTTTTTGAACATTGATAAAAGTAGAGGCCTATTAAAATGACCAGGAATGCCCATAACAGGGAATCGCTTTGCATACTTTTGGAACTCTTCTCCTTGCACCTGTAGATTGTTCATCTTCCTGTGGATTGAAATAGGGTTCAGCTTTTGGGCAACGTTCCACATAACGTGCATACACAAGTCTGTTGAAGTTCATTCGTATTTCTTCCCTTGCTGGTCGGATGGTGCCTGTAACATGGATGACCCATTATCAGGGAACAACAATAGTCACCATCACCGGCAAATATCAAAGATTATGGGAAAAAGAGGAAAGACAATAACATCATAAAAAGAACAGTGGATGATCCAATAACAACTTCAACAAATTAAAAGGACATACCTTCTGGCACTTTAGAGATTGTGCGTCCCACAAGTTGGTCAAATGTTAGCCTACCATTCTGAAGCAATCCCTCAATAAGAGCTTCTGACTGCAAGATACATAAGTTCTATGCATAAGGTCATAAACTTTGGAAAAGTTACAACTTCCAAGTACTGAATGATTGTAGGCACAATGTTAAAATTAACTTTATTTTCTTCTCAGAACGGCCCGGAAACGATCACACATTTGTAACAAAAATAGCACCAGGACAATTAGAATGTAAGTTCAGGCAAGGTATGTTATCTGTCAGTTTCTCTATCAACTACCAGCCTATCACAAACAATAATTACCAGCATATTTATTGAACACCTAAAAAGGGATCATATCAAGAACTAAGATAAGTGACATGTTTTATTTTTGAAACAACTGACAAACTAATCGTTAACTAAACAAATTAGCATTTCACATCGCCATGCTAACTGGAGACATATTTTACAACCACCTAATATGTTTTTTACCAGTTATCATTGTTAAGCAATATAAGACTCATCCTCCTGCACATCCACTAAGCTGTTAGGCTGTTGTGTATCGCATTACATATCCGCATATTTCCGATGATTCCTTCACTTGCCGAGAGCTAGAATCAGTCTCCATACCATGCAAACTGCATGGTTATCTCTGGTTATTTCTCATTCAGACTGTGTACATGTACTCTAAAGAGCACTGAATTCAACAGATATTTGCATCGGAAAATATCTCAATGCCATTCAGTAGTATCAGGTAGTCTTTGGGTCATGCTAATCCAATTCAAACCATTGTGCCATCCAACTTCCTCTCTCTGGCATTCTCCTCCCCACAGCCAACAGCATTCTCCCCTTGCCCTGTCAACCCGCCTCTGTTACCATGGGTGGAGAATAGGGAATGGCCACAACATCACAAGCATCAAACCTAGAACCTAATGACTTTTATAACACTAGTCCAATTAAATATGTATATTGATATATTGAGTAAAAATACAAATAGTTCAACTAATAAATTACAACTAAAATCATCCTGTGTGATACAAGGCAACTTATTTTATGCAATGCAGATATGACCATCTTTCTGCAAAAGTGTTTGCTTGTTCAGATTCAACATACTCTAGTTTTATGGATTGGGGGGATTTCGGAGTGCACAAGTTCTCAACCCTCAGGGCAGAGTACAAATATGAATATGTGAGAAAATACAAAATGTTAATCGTACAGGAAAATCTTAACCATATTTGTATTTTATAAAATATAGTAGTCCAATAATGTGGATAATACAGAGCCTTGACGCCCCTAATAAGGTCATACATGGTACCATGCACCACAGTGTAGCATGCTTAGAGATTAACCCGGAGGATGGATCGAGAATGTAAATAACTAAATACAGCATTAGTTTAAAAAATTGGAATGATCAAGCTGAAATAGTATGAATATTTTTTTTCAGAGTACGCCAATGGCGTACCTTATTTTTATATAAGGGAGCAAACCAAATTACAGGAGTCTGGCACTACACTACAAACAGTGCAGCCAGAGAAACACCACTCCATCTATTACACTCTAAGGTTGTCTCACAAAAATATCTAGACACACCACACCTGTCCTCCTAATGACATCCACAATGTGGTCAAATAGTACGAATATGAAACGGTTCATCTTGCACTACATATAGAGGAAAATGTTTGTCTACGAAAAGATGATGCCTTATGATCTTGAAGAGTAAGAGGAATGTTCAGACGTACAGCACTACAATAATTTGATTATGCTCAACGGCAAACTCCAGATAGAAAGGATTAGCTAGCCTCTATTTGCCAACAGTGACTGCAGTAGCTAGATATCATGAAAGAGTAAAGGACATCCTCAGGACCCGACCTAAATTTGCAAGTACCACATGTCATTAACTACAGATCATTAATCAAGGTCAAGATGCATGTTAATAATCTTAAGTGTAATACTCCAAGATATCTCAGTTACTCCTTGCCATCGCCTCTAGACCATTAATCAAGGCCGATATGCATCTAGCAACGAGAATAACAAGGTGCAAAAAATAAATAAATCTACAGTACCATCTGCTCCGCACTGATTTCAGCATTCAGAGAATTATGGATGCTGTTTTAATCAATCCCAGCTTTTAACAAGCAAGCGTGAACTAAAATCAAGTGCACACCTCTGGAATGTCCGCGCGGATAATAGAGATGAACTTTGAGAAGCGCAGCCGATGCAGGACATTGTCGAAGATGGCCAAGTAGAGCGTGATGGTCCTATCGCCTACAATCACAGAAAAATTAATGGAGTCACGGACTAGCAGGGCATCGAATCGAATCAAATCAAATCATATAGCCAAGGGATTCGCATATGGGCTTGCCTCTGGGCGATGAGAAGGCCTGAACGCAGTTGTGCTGGATGAGGACGAGGAGAGAGTTCTTCACTTGCCCCTGCGGGAGCTTGAGACGGCGCACAATCTCCGTCAGCTGCAGCGCCCCGTGGCGGAGGAGGCAGTCGCACACCTTCTGCGAGAAGGGATCGGGGCGGCGGGAGTTAGGGCTTCACACGCACGAACACGCTGACACAATGCCAGTACCAGGGCGCGACGAGAGGGTAGGAGGTGGACAGGGGTCTTACCGCTACGAGGGGGCCGAAGTGGTCGGATATGAGGCCCGCGGCGAGGAGGATGCCGTGCTGCGACACCATGGTCGCCGGCGGCGATGAGGATTAGGATTTTTGGGTGCGTGTTGCGTCGGCAAAGCCCTCAACGCGAGACAACCTAACCAGCAAAGACTGCACGTGACGTGATCCTGGGCGTCCATTTTTAGGCCAGCGGCTCAGGTTTTATGGCACGGAACCGTCCATTCTAACCCTAAACCCCCGGCGCAGCCAGACCGGTGGAGGAAGCCGCCAGCCCACCACCACAGCAGCCATGTTGCGCCGCGCCTCCCAGCTCCTCCGCACCATCCCCACCGCCACCGTGTTCCCCCGCCGCCTCCCGCAACCGCACCGGCACCCGCTTCCAGCCCCACCCGCCCATCTCCTCCCCGCCCCCAGGCAACCGTCGTACTTCTACGCCACCGAGTCAGCGGCGGCGCCGGCGGCGCGGCCACCAAAGGTGCCGCGGCCACTGAGGACGGCGGGGAGCCTGCTGAGGCTGAACGACATCCGCGATAACCCCGGCGCGACGCAGCAGAAGACGCGCAAGGGCCGCGGGATCGGCTCCGGGAAGGGCAAGACGGCGGGGCGCGGGCACAAGGGCCAGAAGGCGCGCGGCACCGCTCGCTTCGGCTTCGAGGGCGGCCAGACCCCGCTGCGCCGCCGTCTCCCCCGCCGCGGCTTCAAGAACCGCTTCTCACTCACGTTCCAGGTCCAGGGCCCTCTTTGCATTTCTGTTCATCTGCTTTCCTTGCAGCAACGCGACATTTGCTGTTTGCGATCTAAGTTGTTTGATTACGAATCAATCATTTCTTTCTTGATTTCCATGTACTGTATGTGCTCTAGTTGTCATCCCCGAAGGTTGCTTGATTCGATGATCGGAAGTTGTACGGGCCAACATTTTTGCACATAAGGTGCTTGATCTGTGTTCTGTGCACGGAGTTCACATATTTTGAATTTACCACCGCTTATTCCGAGTGCTACCTTGATAAGGATTTTGCCCCTTCGTAGATGCTCCTTAGTTAGGCGAAGGAGTTTCTGACTGAGCTTACTGGTGCCCTATCTGTGGTGGTAACTCTTAGACGAGCTTCTGGATCATTTTGTTCCTCAGTGTACAACAATAGAACTCTGTGTTAAAAATGGCAAAAGGCAGCATGAAAGTACCTTAATAGGCATTATGAAAAGGCCGGGATAGTGGATTTTCACCTAGCAGCGGCCATTTTTAAGGAACTTATGAGCTTTGAGAAAATGGGCATGCTGAGATAACATAGAAAGTACCGAGAAGACAGCAAGAGATTATGGTCATAGGTCAAGCTACAGTGAGGGCAGAGTATGCTGGCTCCTTATCAGCTAGAGTATGGTATATGTGAGCAGTGGTGGATCCATACCAAGTGCCAAGATATGTGGCTTGTGTACTGAATTGGTCGCCAAACTTTGGTGGATAAATCTAATAGGTGGAACTGTGCTAATCTATTGTAAGACCTGAGGTGTTGTGCACTAATTGGGCGCTGATTTTGGACATATCTATTACAGAGTAAACTATTGTTTGGACAACATTTCTATACTTGATATTTGTTTGCGAAGGAAACCTAGGCTTATAATTAAAGTTTACACATTATCTAATCTATTGATGGATATATAAGTTAATGTTAGTACAGTGTGGACTATTTGGTGCCGTGTTAGTATGCAAGAAGCAGGTTTCAAAGAAGTATCATATGTGGCAGAGTTACATTTCTGTAGTGTTACATAGATTAGATTGTGAAGAGCACTGCAAGAATATTTTTAATAGAACATGCCGATTTCTAGCTTTTTCTTTTCTTTCCTTTTCTGTTCATATTGACTCACAAAAAGAACATGCCATATTCTTACAATATATAGTTGTATCTAGCATAAGACCTAGTAAAGCATCAAGATTTATAATCTAATGAATTGCATCTATCATATGTTCCCAAATCCTTCAGGAGGTACTGTGAAGTGATATACTGTTCGGCACTGAGCAGTGGAGTAACTTTCTGTTTGCTTTACAATCTTTCAGTCTCCTAAAATTGTATTCCAACATGATATGTGATGTACCTATCTCTGCTAGTTCATGCAGTGATTGTTTTCAGAAAATTGTGGTTGCTATTTGATCCATGCTAATGTCTGACTTCAACATCTACAAAATAATGGCAAAATTTTTGTATTCGTTTGGGTAACTGGATGTTCATTGTAGAACTTGTTCAACAACTTGACAATTACTTTGTTTATTTATTATGCTTTAAGTTCAATTTTTTATTCCCAAATGGTACCGTGGGCATAGTGTGATGTTGGTCATCTTTCCCTGTGGTCAGCCCTGTGGACTGGGGAAAATTGCGAAGCTCATCAATGCTGGAAAAATTGATTCCTCTGAATTGATCACAATGAAGACCCTGAAGGTACTGCAGTCATTTTTTTGAACTAGCTATGTTTCTGTTTTCTTCTTTGCAACATCAACTTCTCTATCACACTTTATCAGGATACAAGTGCCATTGGGAAACAAATAAAGGATGGGATTCGGTTAATGGGCCGTGGTGCAGAAGAAATCAAATGGCCAATTCATCTCGAGGCAAGCAGAAGCTAGTTCGAAATAATTAAATCTTATCAATATTCATAAGCATATAGTTTCTTGTTCATTTCAAGTACTCCATTCTCAGGACTAACATGCATGCTTTCATAGTCCAATTCTGTTCAGTTTCGTGCTACATGCGATAACACATAATTCGAACATGTAAATGTATCTGTTCCGCCGGGTGCCATTTATCCATTATAATGATATCACAGAATGTGCTCATTCATTATGTCTTTGCATGACCTGCCTGTCTATTGCTTGCAATCATGTTTAGTACAAATAGTGACTCTTTTGTAGAGGCAATGAGGTAGTTCCAACTGTGAGTGTAGTAAATATAGCTTTCTATTGCTGAATATTGTTTGGCATGTGCCCAACTAATAGCCGATGACAGTGACAAAAAAAACCCAGCATGATTTTACTTGCAATGTACTCCCTCTGTAGTGATCTAAACGCTCTTATATTTCTTTATAGAGGGAGTATTTTTAAGTGAAATTATATTGTTTTGATTACTAAGATATAACATTTTCAACTTAAAAGAATGGTTACACATACTAGGTCAGCTGTGAACATTGGTACTGTGGATTGGATTTGATATACTATGTATTCAAATTTCACGAATCCCTTCCTAATCAAATGTAAATTGGCAGGTATCAAGGGCGACTGCAAGGGCGAAAGCTGCAGTTGAAGCAGCAGGTGGAACTGTAAGATTGGTGTACTACAACAAGCTTGGGTTCAGGGCACTTCTCAAACCTGAGTGGTTTGCAAAGAAGGGCCGCCTTATACCAAAAGCGGCGAGGCCTCCACCCAAGCAACGAGACAAGGTTGATAGCATTGGCCGACTACCTGCTCCCACAAAGCCACTTCCCTTCACATCGGAGGAATTAGAGTTTACTGCCAAGCGTGAAGCTGCTAAAGTGATCGCTGCATAGGAGGGAGTGCAAATCACTGAAGAAGCCCATCCGAACTTTTATTACTTACATAAGTCCTGCACCGGGCATTTATAACAATCACCTGCTCTTCCCTATAGGTGCATTCCTTGTGGGATCCTTGTGTTTCCTTGTCATTTGTGCTACGCGGGAATGACATTGTCTTCTTCTGGTGGCAGTAGTACCTCCTGGTAAGCACCAGGGCTGGCGGGTAAAATATCCTGTAACTGTCTTTTGAGAGATCAGTTCATTGTTTTCGTTAATAGAAACTTTTTCTCTAGGACAATACTTCAGGAATGTCTGCCAAACACTATAGGACAAAAGATGGCTTTTGGTGTACTAAGTATTAAGAGAAAAAAAGGAGCGTCTATCAAAAAGGAAGAAAAAAACAAGGGATAATGACCCCAATAGCCAACGAGCCTTCCCTGTTAAGGGTCAATTTTTGTTGCCACGAGCATTGCAAATTTAAAACAGCATAGTTAGCGAGCATGACAACTATGCTGTAGTTTTGTTTTTCATCATAAAATTGCCAGTGCTTGCAAATTTAAATCGTCATCTTTGCCCATCCTTGTGGTAACTAAAGTTGCCATCAAAATGTTTGCAATTGCCACCCTTCCTAGAGAATCGTCGCTGAATGACATTACCCTGGTTTTAGCACAAAGAACTTCTCTAACAATTTCTATAGGTTCAATGTAAGATCTATCTGTTGTTTAATCATCACATCAATTTTTCCTTCAATTTTTAAGGGGGGCGATATCTTTAGCAATTTATTATAAAGAGCATAAGTAATGTGACAAGAATTCTTGGAACATGGTTACATGCATACCCGCTAGACCAGTAAAATTGGTAATAATAATAGATTTTATATATATGAAATTTTAGGGTATTAAACTTGATCGCCCATTCTACTCACGTGTGAAGTTTCGTGAAGAAATGACATGTGTGGTATCATGAGCAACAAAAAGTAATGTTACACCTATCGTAAGGGATCTTACGTGACCGATTGGATGAAATCTGGGAAAGGGCCCATCCAGTTGAATTCGGGGGTTATTTATTGGTTAGGGATGGAAGGTCACGTAGCTCTTCGTAGCCCCTTCGTAGGTCTAGCATTTTAGTGGCGTCTACCCGGCTGGAGCATATGGCAAAGGAGCCTGCTACTATGATTTTGATTACATCAAAGTTTTACCCGAGTCAGTACCGGCCGAGCCTTGAAGGAAAGCGTCGCTCTCCCTCTCGTTTGCCCGTACAGTGATAAAACTGCTATGTTAGCTAATCAGATTTGACACAAGCCTTGCCCCGACCTTACTCTAGTCAATCAGACGGTACTAATTGATAATCGGCTTGGCCCATCACCCTTACACTAATCGATGCCTCTTTTCTCTGAAGCACTCTGGGCTTCGTTTGACCTTTTTGTTTAAGTAGGGTTGTTTTTGTCTGGTCTTGTGCAACGAAGGCAGAGTGGTTGGAGGGAGTAGTGATCCTTTTGCTCTTACATATTTTTCTTTTCCTTTGTCGTCCAAGGTTTCGTGTGCATCCTTGACACATGTCCTGGGGCGGTGGGGCCTAATCCCTTATTAACAAGATGATAGTGCCATTGTTGCAAGAAAATTTCTCCAGAACAACGGAGCTGAAAACAACCAGCCACCCATATTACACCCAACAACTAGGAATCTCCGTTGGAGCAAGAGAATGCCGGCATATTTTATGCTGGAGGTTGGCAATCTATCGTTGTGTTGCTCAGTGAGATCCCTTTTGGATCGGCTGCCCCATTATCCCACTTTGATTCCGAGAACTTTTAATGTCAACACCCCCAAAACATAACGTCCTGGGATGCAGAGATGAGAGCAACCATACTCAAGTTTCTTCATGATAAGCGACGTTGCGCCAATAGAATACGAACCAACTACTCCTACATATATATGTTCGTTCCAGTACCCATAGGCCATACCCTGCTGTTTGTCGCGGTGGTATTAGTTGCCGACGTCTCCTACGTGACACCCAAGTCGTCTCCCCAGGTTGCTGGTTAGTCAAGCCTAATAAAAAAATAAGACTATCCTAACCAGATAGCAAGCACGGCCATAGCTATATACTACCACCAATCCATTTGGGCCTCATTCGGTCTGAAGGATTTTCGTAGGAAAAACATAGGAAAAAGTATTTCGGAGGAAAATTTCTTATATATGCATTCGGTTTGTAGGAAACACGTACATGAATTTCGTAAGAATACTACTCATTTTCTGTGTTTTTTGATGGAAACTACACATCCACTCAAAGCTCATTTTGCGCGTAGGAACGAGGCAAATCATTTCCTTAGGATGGCAAGTGACATCCTATCAAATTCCTATACTACTTCTAATTCCTATGTTTTAATTTCTTCTAAACCGATTGAGCCCTTGATGATTAGGCATATACTAATTCAACTTCCAACCAGCTGTTAGAATAAGCACATGCTTAACTGCCGCCGTTCGTTGCAAAAAAAAACCCACCAATAGATGATAAGGTACTGAAAATCTCGGGATTTCTTTTTGCACTTCTGCTTCGGTACACCCCCCTAAACACAAGGACGGCTCAGATTAGCCGATACCTCTTCATAAGTAAGGGCATGATAGTCATATTTTATAAACTCTTCACGTATATGCTAAACTTTTTTTTTTGAAAAACACGTATACGCTGTACATGAATGGACGTCAACACCCTGCCGCGCTGGGTTAGCCAATTCAGACTTTTTTTTAAAACCGCAAAAATTGGTGCACTCAAAGCTCATTTTGCGCGTAGGAACGAGGCAAATCATTTCCTTAGGATGGCAAGTGACATCCTATCAAATTCCTATACTACTTCTAATTCCTATGTTTTAATTTCTTCTAAACCGATTGAGCCCTTGATGATTAGGCATATACTAATTCAACTTCCAACCAGCTGTTAGAATAAGCACATGCTTAACTGCCGCCGTTCGTTGCAAAAAAAAAAACCCACCAATAGATGATAAGGTACTGAAAATCTCGGGATTTCTTTTTGCACTTCTGCTTCGGTACACCCCCCTAAACACAAGGACGGCTCAGATTAGCCGATACCTCTTCATAAGTAAGGGCATGATAGTCATATTTTATAAACTCTTCACGTATATGCTAAACTTTTTTTTTTGAAAAACACGTATACGCTGTACATGAATGGACGTCAACACCCTGCCGCGCTGGGTTAGCCAATTCAGACTTTTTTTTAAAACCGCAAAAATTGGTGCTTGCTGCAGGATTCGAACCTACGTCCTCCTAGAATTAGCACAGCCGCACCAACCAACTAGCAAACCTAACGTCGGATGTTATGTAAATTTTTTAAAGCTTAAAATAGAACACTGGGAAAGCGCATCATTTTCTGTTTGGTATTTTCCTTTTCTTTTTTGTTTCCTAAATGCGAGAACTTTTACAATTCGTGATTTTTTTAGAAAATGAAGACAAAATTTAAAATTCTAGAATTTTTCTTCCAAATCAGAGAACCTTTTTTTTTTCAAAATTGATCAGTTTTCTTAACAAATTCGTGAACTATTTCGCAAATTGGCGATTTCTTTTTGAAAACTGTTCAACTTTTTTTATAAAATTGACGAACTTTGTTTCTAAATCAATGATTTTTTTTCAAATCAATGCACTTTTCTTTAAAATCGATAAACTTATTCTGAATTTTTGATGAAATTTTTTCAAAATCAATAAAAGAAACAAAAAAACAAAAGAAAAACAAATTAATATAAAAAACCCATGTAAAAACCAAAGAAAAAACCAGCCCGGTTGAAAAGGAAAACCAGAGTCTTTCTTTTTAGCGTTATATTTGACGCACTACAAAAGATGGAAAAAGAAAAGCTTAGACCATGATCAACAGAGGTGTTCGAGTAGGCGAGATGGCTCCGTCTAAGAGCACGTCATTTTCCGACATCCTTGAAATGGCACCAATTATTTTTTCATGCCTCCTATGACCAATTCAAGGCACCATGCCAAGTTGTTTTGGTTTTCGACAAGTTTTGCATTTTTCAGGGTTTTCTCCGTAAAAAAAGCCTGATAAATGGGCGGACGTGTCACAACTTGCATACAGTGTCATGAATCGTTCAAACCTGACATGGATGACTACCATGGTCATGCCAACCTGCTTGAAAATGTTGGGGTCATTTTAAGAATGTCCAAAAGTAGACCATGTTTAATGGAGGATGTTCGGGTTGGCTAGAACACTCTACCTGAGGGTACAGTGTTTCTCAACATCCTTCAAATGGCCTAATTTCCCCCCCCCCC